TTTGGAGTTTAGGAGCTTAATTAATCGTTTGTTGAGAATAAACAATTTTCTTGAACAAATAACAATTTCTTGACCAAAAAACTGTTTGTTGCTCAAGAAACGAGTTTTTGAGCAAGAAACGAGTTTCTTGAGCAGGAAACGGGTTTATTGAACAAGAAATAAGTTTCTTGCTCAAGAAACGAGTTTCATGTTTCTTGGCCAAGAAACCCGTTTCTTGCTCCATAAACCTATTTCCTGGTCAAGAAATATGTTTCTTGAGCAGGAAACTTGTTTCTTGAGTCAAATTTATAATTTAATAAAACTTTAATAATTGCACATTACTATACAATGGATTTCACAATTTAACGTTTTAATATGTAATTTAAAAATAATTGTTCTACATACTGCACTTTATTGATATACATATTGCACATTAGTGTTCGTCATATTGCACTTTAGCGTAACGATTCATTCCGTGCAGTGACTAAAATACCACTGCGTGAAAAACCAAAAGTCCATTTATTTACAATATTGCCACGTGTTTGACTAAAGTTGGACCCTTTGACCGCATCTAGAGCATTGATATATCACATCCAACGGCTATAATTCATTCTCATTTCTTTTGTTATACTCTATATCATATATATATATATATAATGTATACATTTTGGACATTTTTTCTATATTTGTTCTTTTATAATTCTTCTCGTCAAAATTAATTACAATATAGTAAATTGATTCATGAATTCTTAATAAAACATAGGCTCTGTTTTTCGCCAGTTTTTGCTATCAACTAGTACGTACCCGTGCGATGCAAGGGACAAAAATATTAAATGAGTTATTTTCACATGCTTTGTCCGTTTAAGTATATAAAGTAATAAAATTATCATCTATTCTCATCTCTTTTAATCAGCGTTAAGTATAATAAACAATAAGGTTATAATATAGTTTGCACCTCTTTTAATCAACTTTATTTTTCTAGTCAAAATATTAAAATAATTAATATATTATTTCACTAACACATTTATCTTAATTTAAATTTAATTATAGTATATATATTTATTCCTTGATATAAGAGAGAATAACAATTTTTACTTATTCTTGTTCACCATATAATACTTAATTATTATTTTATTATACTCTTTATGTCATATAATGTCATTATTATTTATAAAGTTGTAGAAGTTGTACGTCTTCTTTTTATTTTTATTTCATGTAATGAAAAATATTTAATGCACGTTGGTATTATTTATTTATGTAATCAATTTAAAATATGTAAATAAATTTAATATTAAATAGTGTATAAATATTTTACAAAATATACACATGTTTTTTTAGAATTTAATTTTGTATATTAATTAAACAACTTTGATTTAGAAAATCCCAAAACTTGATCCCCTCTATGATCAAGATTTTTCTAATTCGCATTATAAGGATTTATGGTTTATTTAGAGTACTCAGCAATGAAAATATATTCTACAAGAATTTAATTATAGAAATAAATAAAAATAAAAAAATGAAAAAAATATAATCATGGGTGCCAATAATATACAAATAAATTCTAAACAATAGTTAATATGTTTCAATTCTAATTTTGTACCATTAGTAAAACTATTTATTGAATCTGGTCATTATCTCTTAAATGGTAAATTATATTAATTTGAAGAATGATTTATTTTTTTTATATTTAACAAAATAAAGCTTAAGAAACAAATATATTGGCAAAGATTAATTCACCGACTTGATTTTGTCTGATTACTTGGAAAAAAATTCTACCTAACCTGTTACGATTTTCCATAAATATTTTTGGATAAAAAAGTGAATATTTGTGAAAATTAAACCTATTATGGTTAGAACTTAAAATATGGTGTAATATTATCTTAACAAAAATATTATCAACATGGATCACAGAATCAATCTTGTAATTTATTATAATGAATATCAATGAAAGTATTACAAATATTAATAAAATAATATTTATCTTGACCAAAATAATATCAACATAAATCACGAAAATAAATCTTGTAATTTATTATAATAAATATCAATGAAAATACTGCAGATATTAATAAATTTATTTAAGTAATTATTTGATTGGTAACACAAAGCTCCACGACCGGCTGGAACTTGAGTAATCGCCTTCCTTCTCGCCGGTTGAACGTCGTGTACCTACAAAGAACTCTCACACCGGTGGGATTTTCCGGTGAAGAGCCTCCGATGCTTAAGTCAGTGTATATTCAATCAATTCTCAAGAGTAATAGAATGATCGTGTTGAAGAAGAAAGGCTCACCCCCTTTATATAAGGGTGAGATACCTGACCTAGGGCTGCCCGGATTTGATGAGCTGTCTGCCCTAGCTGCCCGTCCGTACACAACAAACGCGTGTGTCAGAGGCGGCCGTCTCCACTATCGCCTGCACCAATCCTCTTTGGACGCGTGTCCTTCTGCACATGGGGTAGGCTGTCAGAGGTGGTTATCGCTATCCACCATTGCTTTCTCGACACGTGTCCCCCTGCACATGGGGTAAATATTCTCCTGGAATTCTGTCAGAGGCGTCCTTCACGCGCCCCTGACTAGGCCGAACAGCGTGGTGTTAAGTCCTCGAAGTAATCGACCTGTTGAGGTCGAATCAGAATGCTCGATCGCCTATCTGGTCGATGCATAGTTTGGTCGACAGCTTTGCTTGGTCGACTGAGCAACTGCTCGATTCTCTCGACTTCTTCAGAATATGACCTCCTCAACCGGTCCGTAGACCGGCTCAGCCTATTGAGTATAATATCCCATATCATTGATCATATGTTATTTAATCTTATTTGAAAACGTGTAAATAGAACCAATTAATGCATGCATTTAAAGGATTTCCAAAAATAGCATGCATTAAATGCTTCCTAAATTTTTGCTACTATTTTTAATAAATGGAAATTCTTTTTATATAGATATAGATTAAAAATTTCGATCTTTGTTAAAAAATTGGTATAAAACTATAAATAGTTAAAATATATTTATTTTACTAAATTGGTTCTTAGCAAAAGTGAGTTTGAATATAGCAACAATTTGGACACTTGTCTAAATCTATATGGATCAATCCTCTATCCATGTTGGTAGTATGGAATTTTCTTTGTCAATGCCATTGGACAGATGGGCTGTCCCTTTTGCTAACCCCCTCCATCTCTCTCTCTTTCAAGTACTCTCCCAATTCCCATAGCTACCATTTCTCGTTCTCTCTAAAACTCACAAAGCACAAAACCCACTTAAAATTCATCAACTATTTAAAACCATGGCGTCGAGAAGAAAACAGAGATGGTGCCCTCAGCCCCTCACCCCTCTAATGGAAGGCCCAGATTTGGAGGTGGAGGATGTTGACGACGGCGCCAAAAAGGAGAGCTCTTGGGAGGCCATACGCGAGTGGTTTGGCTTACACAAAAATGCAACCAGCAGCTTCTCGTCGGGGTACCAGAGGCAGGACCTCAGGCTCTTGCTCGGCGTCTTGGCCTGCCCGCTCGCCCCCATTCCCATCCCATCCAACCCCACTTTCCATCTTCATATCAAGGATATCCCTATTGTGAGTACACCACCACTTTTCCTTCTTTTACTGTTTTGTTGTGAATTGTTTTGGTTCAGGCATTTCGTCGAACATGTTGCGGGCGTTTGAGATTGCCTTTTAGGACAACGTGACAAGAATTTGCTCGAGTCATTGGATTTGGATTTGAAACTCATAAGAAATTGTCTATTACATGATCGATTGTTGTTGGTCCTGTGATTACTAGAAATTGAAAATCTCACCATACATCTCATTCATGTTAGTTTTTAGAAAACTTACAGCAGCCATAATGATCTTTCGATTTCTCATGTTTAATTTTAATGCACCTATATTGTGTTGGTAAAAAAAACAAAAAAAAAAAAAAACAAAAAACAGAAGAATAAAATCATATTACATTGTTAGAAATAATTCAGATTGGATTAGATTAGATGAATAATGAGGCTATGTTTGCTAACCAAATCAGGTAGCTTATAGTTTTGGTTTGCTTATAAGTTTCTTGTATTCAAATAAGTTTTGCTTGGTAGGACGAACTTTTTTTAAAAATTTCAAGTTTATCTCGTAAGCTTCTTTGAGTAGTTTTTCAAATAAGTTCGTTCAGCTAATTCTATCAAACATTTTTATCATAAAAGCTCGTTATTCAACTATATGTCATAAGCTATAAATTATAAATTAAAAAATAACTTATAATCTATCAGCTAGCTTATCAACTAGTTTTACCAAACATAACTTATATAGGATAACATTTACATTCTATAACTACATAAATATAAATTGGGACTTGTCAATGTGTTGGTGTTGTTACAGGAGACATCGGCTGCGTATTATATTATCCAACAGTATCTAGCGGCGACCGGTTGCTCGAAGCATGTGGGCCCCACGACTAGGAACATGTACGCGTCGGGGATGGTGAAGATGGTGAGGTGCGAGACGGAGGTTTCGAACGGGAGGGGCGTACGGACGGTGGGTGGGGGTTCGAGGTCTTCTGGCGAGACTGGTTGCTTCGTGTTGTGGCGAATGTCTCCCGATATGTGGTCGCTTGAGCTGTCGGTTGGCGGCACTAAAGTGGCGGCAGGCAGCGACGGGAGGACTGTGTGGCGGCACACGCCTTGGCTTGGCGTGCATGCGGCTAAGGGTCCCCAACGCCCTCTACGCCGCATTATTCAGGTACCGAATTACGACTTCTTTTCTTTTTCCACATTTTTTCCAATTAAATTCATCATCGTTATGTGATGATGTTCTTATAGAAATGAATTCGAATTTCTATTACGAAAAATAATATAGGGGAAGACTACAGACACGTTACAGTATGGTTCTGTCGGTATTTTTAATCGTAGATTATCTACCCATCACTGACCAATATGTGTATCTACAGTTAAAAAACACCGACAGAACCATACTGTAACGGGACTGTAGCCTTCTCCAACCTAAATGTTTGATTTAGAAATGTCTCTTGGTAATTGTGCTAGTTTAATTTGTTGATGTGAACTTAGTTATTTGTAAATTTTGGTCTATAGAGAAGTAAAAGGGTCTAAAAGACCGTAAAACAAATTTTTGAAAGAAGATTGTTGGATATCAAAGTTGATGAAAATCAGTTTGAATGCTCTGATTTCTAAAAGGAAGTATTTTTCTAAGGAAAACAAATAGGATCTCTGATGAAAAACTAAAGTTACCCACTTTAATCTTTTATAAATCAAAAGACAACCAAGCAATAAAGAAAGATAAAACGTATTTATAGGGCTACGAGATATATACTTGGTAAAGTTTTTTAGGTATAAATAAACTTAATGGCCTAAACTGTAAAGTGCAGTCTGTATGACTGTATCTGAAGAATGATAGATCACCCAAAATTAGCCCAAATAATTAAAGTTGAATGAAATGAATAAAATAAAGGAAGATGCTACGGTTCATTTACGGAACTATTTTGTCAGAGTTTGTAACCGTTAAATCAACTATATCTGACGGTTACATGATGATCTAACGATTACAAATCCCGACAAAATGGTTATCATTTTCCTAAAATAAAACAAAGAATTAACACCTTTCTAGAAATCGGCTAATTTCTTAGCACTGGAGAATTAAATAGTGGAGATTGATAGAGATTTGAAACCTGAATGTCCCCAGCTTTACCCAACATTTATTATCTTTGGACACATTCAAAATTAGGGAAAGGCAGAGCACGTGATTTAATATCATCTACAGATCTAATAGCTATACTTAGCAGTTACATCATCATCTTGGGATTGCCAAACTACCAGGTAGGTACCTATCCTATTATTAAAGTGGCCAAACCATGTGCTTTTGCTTTTGTTGAAACTCACAGATGACTGAAGACCCAGAATTATAATACTCTTTTATATCAACATTAAAAGAAAGAAAAGCTGCTAACACGAGGTTATAATATTGGGACATTCTACAGTTTCGTTACGAAATCATTCCGTCGAGTTGGTAACTGTTAGATCATCATGTAACCGTCAGTGATAGTTGATTTAACGGTTACAAACTCCAACGAAATAGTTCCGTACGCAAGCGTAGAATCTACAGACAAAATGTTATTGCAAAATTGAATACCATATTGTTGAATTCTTTAAACCTTGGAGTCAAGAGGAAAGAAATAAAGAAAGAAAATAGGATACACTAAAAATACTAAATTGAGTATTACTTTCATATAAAGATGTAATGCACTCTACTATACCTCTTAATTTGTAAGTATTACTTTAGAATCGCTTCATGCTATGATAGATAAGCTGTGTCTATCATCATATATGTAAAATCTTTTTTTTTTTTTTT